TTAGGTTGCTTCGAAGGTTGATGAAGAAGAGGAAAAATGAAGATTTTTGGGTGATTTTCGATTTGTGGGTTTCAAACCAACTTCTTCCTTTCTGTTTTGGGTTTGAAAAATAGGGGTTTGATTCGGAGAACAGGATTGATAGTTGTGTTTTGAAGTTTGTGGAAGGAAAGGTTGAAGAGAGATTTAGGGATTGAAGTTTCGAGTCGTGGGTTATTAAAATAAAATGGTCTTTGAAGGAGATGTATGTTTTGAATATTGAGGTTTTGGAAGGTTGTTAGGGATGAACATTGAAGAAGGCTAGTGTTGGAGGGTATGAAGGTTGGAGGTTGAAGAAGAGAAAAGAATTGAAGGTTTGGGATTTGGAGAAGGATGAAAGAGTTTTGAAGAAAGTTGAAGACGGAGCGAAAAAGATTAAGGTTCCGAGTTGGGATAAAGGAGAGTTGAAGGAAATGTTAGGTTTACGAAAATGTTGTTGTTGTTTTAGCATGAAACAAAATATGTAGGTCCCCTCTTTAATGAATGAAGGAGGTCCTATATATTCATCCAAAGCACTCTCTTAGAAAGAAATGGGTGCGGGCTGGAATATAGTACGTGTGTACGGGATGTCGCGGCGGTTTTTGTGTTGCCCTGCGTTTTGTAAATGCCCACAGTGAAATTTTTCCGTACTATTTTATCTTATTCTGCAGGTTGTGGTTTCTTCGTGCAAGACATGGTCATGAGATGAAATAAGGACCTGCTGTCCTTTTACTACATTTTTTGCGCGAATACCGTATTGTATCATGGACTCCTTTGTTGCCGTTTTATTTGAAGATGATTGAAGAGGCTATCATGATCTAGAGCCAGCGTCCCTTTTATGATGGCCTTCAATATTTAAGGATTATTGGCGTGGTTTAGTGACAGGATGTGAAGGTACATAATACGCAGGTTTATGGTGTGGGTCTGCTGCTATACGGTTTGTTTATTTCCAACTGTAAAAGTTTGTTGCAAAATTCTATGTGGAGAGCAAAAACTGTGGCCGCGAAAAGATCATCGTTGTCTTGTATATTTTGGGACAGTTGTGGTGATATTGTGTTGCGTGGGGTCCTCAAGGACCATCTGGCGGTTTCAACCAAATGACCTTCTTATTTTTCTACTTTTTTCAAATCTGCTGTAATGTTTGTATGCAATGGGTTTAATGAATCTTAACAATAAAATTGCAACTTATGAATTGTTGTTTCTCTGTAAATGTATTTTTTGAGATTGATTTGGGAAATATATGATGAGCTTATTGTAGTAATGGGTTCTCAAAATAATGTTTCCTTCTTTTTTGGTAATCTCTTGAAATATATATGGGCTTAAAAATTTCAATTTTTAATAATAACATTTGATTAGGCTTGTACTATCGACACCTTTTCATTTTATTATCCAAGGAACCTTGTAAATGAACTTGTAATATTATGGCATTCATTTCACAATTCTCCAAATTTTCAATTGAAAACCAAGACAAGCTGAACTTCGTATCTCCGCATCAACTCCCATGGATAGATTTTAAGTTGAGCCTTGCATCGATAAAAATAGATCTGACCCTGGATGCTTAAATAAGCCATAGCTTTTAATATGAAAATCTTTGAACCAAACAACACTCTGAATCTGTCATAGTCTTGACAACTTGATTCACTCATAACCAACTTGGCTTATGACACAACATCCAATCAGATCCTCCGGCACCCCTACCAGATGATTCTCAAACTTTAGCCTAACTCAAACCTAGTTTGACTGACAAATTAAGTTGATAAACCATGAAAAGAACCTCAACACCCACTACACCCATCCCTGGCTTAATGAATCTCAAATGAAACCTGACACATTTCAATTTATTCTTTATGATAAAAGTGTTGTACCCCAAAATTTTCCCAACCTTTTTCTTTACTTGGCTTATGTTTCATTTCATTCTTTAGCATTTGCATTTGCATAACATTGTCTTTTACATGGGATCAAGAGAGGTGTGCCATTCAAGAGAAGGTTATCAAGGGTATCAAGCTCAACCAAGAGTGCTTACTCAATTCATCAGAGGCTTGCAATCATCAAGAGGTGGTCAAAGTTCTTTGAGAGAAAAAATTGATGTATGTTGCTTATCTCTTATCTTGAGGGTCAATTGAAGATCATCAGGGGTTCACAAGTTCATGGTTATGAATAAAAGGTGTTTGAGAAGCTCATTGAGTGCTTTTGAAGTCATTGTGGAGCTTGTCTAGGCATTCATTTCACATGCAAGAGGTTATAGTCAAAAAGTGTGCACCTAGGGTTTCATCTACTTAGTTCAAGGTCAACTACAGAATTTAAGGAGTTTGAGACTTGGTTTTAAGTCATTGGAGTCATGGGAAGTCATGTTGAGACATCTAGGATTTCATATCAAGTTCAAATCAAGGAGAATCAAGAGTCTAAGAAGTTACTAAATTAGGGTTTCAGAGGGTTTTAGTGTAAAATCCCCTTCTTTAGTGTCCAACTTCAAGGACCATTTACCTCAAGATACAAGTTCAATATCATTTTCATATAAAGATGAGACTTGTAGGGAATGTTATAAGCTTTCTTTTGAGTACCAGAACTCAAGTTATGCTGCCATCAAGTTATAGGTCTCAGATGAACATATTTTTCAGTCAACAAAAGTCAACTCACTTCCAAGGCACGTTTGACCTAGAATCATGCTTCTCCTCAACTTTTGGTAAACATGAAAGTTGTTCCTCATGATCTTAGATTTCCAAAAAGTCCTAGAAGTAATTGATATCATTTGTGTAACTCAAGTTATGGGTCTTGCAAGGTAGGGGTATTTTGGGAAACTTTGATTATAGGCCATTTTAATTATGGATCATTTACATGCACTTAAGTACTTCAAATGAAACTTCAACCAACATGAAAGTTGTCCCAAATGACCTCATTTACACTATAGAACTCAAGTTTTGTGTGAATTATGCTTGGTTATGGACATTGGGTGAGAAATTTCAAGTGAAAATGGATTTTTAAAGGTGATTTGAATTAAACTCATTATAGGTCTTTTTCATGTTTCCTTTTGATTCAATTTTGTTCACAATGCTCCAACACGTAAAATGCACAAACTCATTGAAGTTCATGAAGTCAAAAACACGTGGAAATGCAACTTACTTCATAAGGAAGTTTCTCATTCAGACTTCAAAATTGGACTAGATACAAAGCCCAATCCAATCACATTGCAAAATTCAACTCCTCAGCTGAAGAATCAGGAAATTTCCATGTGTATATGCAGCTGTTTTCACGTGTGCATGAGAAAACTTCATTATTGGGCATTTTTCAAATTCAGCCAAATGAGGCTTCATGGGCCTCCAATTCCATTGCAAATCCAACATATATAAGTTCACGTTTCATTTTGAGAGCTCAGAATTGCATTTTGGAGCCAGAGCAAGCAACTTCCATTTTCAAATTCTCCAAAGAAATTCAAAATTGTGAATCAGTTTTCAGAGCAATTCAAAGCCAATTGAAGTGAGATTCTTCTTCCTTGAGCTAGCTGGAGTGAATCTACACGTTCTCAAGCAAGGAATCAAGTTGTTGAAGCACCAACAGAGTGTCTCTGTTAGGTAACTTCCTCCTTCATTTTTCTCTCATTCTAGAGCATGATCTAGGTCATTACTGGCTGCATCAAGCCCTACCTCGTGTAGGCCATGTTTGAGTGATTTCCATGTTTGATAAAGATCTCATATGTGCATTCCAAATTTGATCTGTTCGAATCTCATTATTTACGCATGTTTAAAACCAATGGAGCCTGGATTTGGAATGTAGGTGAGTTCAGCTTCATTTTGATATGCGATTTGCTAAGTTTGGTTGAGTTTGGATCGCCTGAGCTCCGGCCTACTCGTCGGAGAAGACGACCGAAGCTAGGGCTCCGGCGTCTGGTCTTTTGACCTTAGGGCTGATGTGTCTTTTGTTTTAATCTTTGACCTTGTGAGATGAATGACTCAGATTGGATTGACCTGCCTGCGTGGATAATTGACTTCCACGTCAATAAATGAAACGCATCGCTTTGATTTCAGTTGTGTGGACCTGGGCCTCGTTTTCTCTTCACACCTCCCATATTTGGAGCCCAATGCCATCTGAACGTGATTCCTTTGTATTGTTGTTTACTTGTTGCACCTCTCTTCCTTTTATTTGTTTTATTTTATTTCTTTTATTTCTGTTTTGCTTTTTGATTTTTAAAAATAGTTCCAAATGTCATAAAATCCCACAAAAAATATTTTTCAACACCTTAGAGTGTTATTTAATTTTCTATAATTTTTAATTCCATTTTTATTTTATTTTGCAATTAATTTGGGATTTTACAATTGGAAATGTTTTTAATAGTACTATAGTTTGTACTTTATTTTTGACCTTGTTACTACATTTTGGATCTCGATTATACGACATTTTCTTATTATATTATTTTTGACACATCCAATATTAGTCTCTTATTATTTTATAAGTCTATTTTTTTAATTCAAGTTCGTGATTTATTTTGTAAGTCTCTTCATAGTTCATCAGAAAACAAACACACATCTTAAAGCAAAAAATAACCTGTTCTGATACACTTCGAAGATGTTTCTCTAAAAAATTACCGTATATTCATCTTTGGGACAATTCAAATGTAAATGGTTTATAAATACTTGTTTTAAATGTTGAAAATGGTTTCGAAAATATATCTTCAAAATATGTCAATGTTCATTCAAAAATAAATACGTTCGAAGATTTATCTCTGAAATTAGAGGACATACGTAATGTATCTCCGAAATTAGAGGACATACGTAAAAATTCACATAGTTTATTAAAAACATATAAGATACAATAAGAAATTTTCAAAATTCTCTCCATATTGGGCCTAACATATTAGTGGCCATGTTGTTGCCCCGGCCCAGAAAATTCATTACAAGTTTGAACTTAGCCTGTCTTCGTCTTCCTTTTTCCTTCGACCAAATGCGTCAAGCAAAAACCTCGAGCAAACTTCATGGTGAATTGAAGGGAACATGCTTCCGCTACCAGCGATTGCAAGCCACCACCCCTATTCCCCAGCTGCCCTCCATAGCCAGGTTAGTATCACAATTGACTTTGATAAAACCGTTATGGGGTTTTTCCCACTAAGAATCTCTTGTATGCGCTATTTTGTGAATCCATGTTATGCTGATTTTCAAATTGTGGATTCATGGTTGAAGCTCCATCTTGATTCTATGCTCGATTACGAGTTCTCTGATACTTCTCTTGGTCGAGGGATTGATCGTGGTTTCCTTGATTGGTATGGTCCGCGTGGCTTTGGTTTGAGGAATGGAGGTTTCATTGCATCCCATGATGATCTGACTCTTGGTCCGGTCCTGCTTGTTCAGGTCATTTCTTCTCCCCTTCTGACCATGATTCTTGTGGTTCTGTGTTATGAATGAGAATACTAATCATGTGGTTTTGTGTTATGAATGAGAATACTATAGAAGGAAAAGATACCGCTGAGTCAGAGAATGTGGGGAACAGGCCCCAGGAAAGGGAGTGGACCAGAAATGCCGGTGTGAGACGCAGCAGCAGGAACTCTACGCAGAAAGAACGCTGAAACCATTGAGCTTGCGGCAGCATCGAATGACGCACGGTTCACCAAAATAGAAACAAATCAAGCCGTTGCGGATGCCAAACTCACGCGAATCACAGAGGCACTGGAATCATTACTGGATCGGGAACATGGTCCAACTGTGCAACATGGTGTAAAGAACTAAACGACTGCTGGGTTTCAGGTAAGCAAAATCAAACTCGATTTTCCGAGATTTAATGGGAAAATGTTAGACTGGATCTTGTAGGCTGAACAATTTTTTGGGTACTATAATACCTCTGATGTTGATCGTATCACTATTGCTTCGGTTAATTTGGATGAAGATGTAATTCCATGGTTTCAAATGTTACAAAGAACGACCCCTTTTAAGTCATGGAAAGAATTTACTAGGGCATTGGAATTAAATTTTGGCCCTTTTATTATATGATTGCCCTAGAGGTGCTTTATTTAAACTGAAACAAACAACTACTGTGAATGCTTATTATTTGGAATTTAATTGTTTGTCTAACCGAGTTTATGGGCTAAGTAATGATGCAGTTGTGGATTGTTTTGTTAGTGGATTGGATGATGATATACGCAGGGATGTGATGATACATACACCAACCTCCATTGTCAAAGCCGCAGCACTTGCTAAGGTCTATGAGAAAAACCAAATTGCCCAGAAAACCAGCCTAAACACTAAACCAACCAACTCAAACAACCCAAACACAAACACTAGAGCTCACTTCACTCCAAACAAAACCCATTTCTCTGACAAACCAAATAACCCCCCTGTTCTTAACACCCCACCCACTAGACCCATGAACCTTAACCAGAAAAACCCAAACATTAGATGAATCTCCCCTGCTGAAATGCAATTGAGGAAAGAGAAAGGCCTTTGTTATTTTTGTGATGACAAATTCTCTTTTACACATAAATGTCCCAACAAATACCTCATGTTAATCCAAACAGAAGACATAGAGGCTGAGACCACCGAACCACCAGTAGATATACCTAACTCAGCCATAACACAAGACTCACTAGAACATCATTTATCCCTCAATGCAATGAAAGGCTCAGGAGGTTTTGGAATTATCCGATTTCATGGCAGAATTGGGTCAATGGCAGTCTCTCTATTGCTAGATGGTGGTAGCACTGACAATTTTATACAGCCTAGAATTGTCTATTGTTTAAAGTTACCTGTGGAACCAGCTTCAAAGTGGCAAGTACTAGTAGGAAATGGACAGAAAATGACAGCTGAAGGCATGGTAAAAGAATTGTCTCTGCAAATTAATGGGCAGGAAATTACGGTTTCTGCATACCTATTACCTGTGGTAGGTGCTGATGTCATCTTGGGAGCACCTTGGCTTGCTTCATTAGGACCCCATGTGGCTGATTATGCGACAGCAATGATGAAATTTTACTTGAAGGGTAAATTTATTACACTACAAGGGGAACAGAACCAGAAACCTGAAGTGGCTCAGTTACATTTGTTCGGAAGATTCCGTCAAATGCAGGCAATTGCGGAAGGCTTCACGTTAGAGTTAATTGAACCAGAGCATCCAACAGATAGGTGGTTGGACTTGCCTTCCAACATGGAACCCGATATGGCGATGCTATTACACACATTTCAGGATGTGTTTCAAACACCTACTGGTTTACCTCCAACCAGAGACCACAAGCATGTAGTTTCTTTGAAAGAAGGGTCACAACCAGTGAAGGTTAAACCTTATCGATATCCACATAGTCAAAAAGCAAAGATTGAAGAGATGGTACAGGATATGTTGAGTCAAGGCATCATACAACCTAGCACTAGCCCATTTTCATCACCTATAGTGCTAGTCAAGAAGAAAGATGGTTCTTGGAGGTTTTGTACAGACTATAGAGCTCCTAATGCTAACACAGTTAAGGATAGTTTCCCAATGCCTACAGTTGATGAACTGATTGATGCTCAATACTTTTCTAAGTTAGATCTTAGAAGTGGATATCATCAGATTTTGGTCCAACCGGAAGATAGACACAAGACGGCCTTTCGAACACACCACGGGCATTATGAATGGCTAGTAATGCCATTTGGTCTTACGAATGCGCCTGCGACCTTTCAAAGCTTGATGAATAAGGTTTTTCACCAATTGTTAAGGAAATGTGTCTTAGTCTTTTTTGATGATATTTTGGTATATAGCCCTACATGGAATTCACATCTCACACATCTTGAAACGGTGTTACAGTTACTGCAACAACATGTGCTTTATGAAAGCTGCACTGCTTAAGGTGACATCACTATCTCTCGCTCGATGTTGCTTTGGTTTCAGGATGGTGGGCTCAAAGTATATTTTTGCCTAAAATATATTAAATGCTATAGACTTTATAGATATTTATAATAAGCCCTGTTATTATGCTAGAATTTTCTCCCGATCCAGGGTGAGTCAGGTTGAGCTGGTGCAGAGGCTTGTGTTGGAGTCAAGTTTGGAGGCTCTAATTCACGACTGCTAGGTAGTTATTGTGCTAGAATTTTTGCTTGATGCAGCGGTTCGTTGGAGTTCATTGAATCTCAAGTCAGTTTTGTTATTCATCAAGGGATTGCTTGGCTGGTTTATGAAAGCTGCACGGCTTAAGGTCACATTCACTGTCTCTTGCTCTTTGTTGCTTTGGTTCAGTTCCAATTGTTTATTTGGCTTGGCAACATTATATCACTTTTCTCCAAATGCTATATTTGGAGCTGTGTCCGCATTACATTTCTCATGATTTCTCTTAAGCTCGAGACTTATCGCACAAATGACAATTTCTCAATGCAAATATAAACATATACTTAGTAGTTGAAACATTTTTCTTTTCTATAATACCACTGAAAACATTAATTGAATATTTTTTAGGCTCTTATTTTGTCTGACTAATCTCTTTTTTGGTAGTGTAAAATCATTGTTAGCTCCATACTTCTTTGAAATAGATCTAGAGAACTAGTTTATTATTATTATTTTGTTGATATTGGACATCTAAAATCTAGAGAACATCTAAAATCTAGAGAACTAGTTTATTATTATTGGACATCTAAAATCTAGAGAACTAGTTTATTATTATTTTTTTTTGTTGATATTGGACATCTAAAATTTATTGGTTTGGATTATGTTTTAAAGGCCTGTTTGACAGGCTGAAAATGGATATTCCATTTTAATATATTATCTTAATTATTTAACTAACAGAAACATAATCATAATAAAAGAAATAAAAGAAGTAGAATCAGAAATATAATCCAGACAGAATAAACCCATAAAAAAACACAATGAATCCATTCAAATATGATAAACCAAAATTATCGAATGTGCATGATCAGTGCATATTTATGCACATTCTCCTAAATTTTTACTTAGGCATTTCTTTATGTTATTTTGCTTATTATTATATTTTATCATGTTTTCTTATTTTATTTTATTTTTGATTTAATTTAATTTTCGCAACTATTTTTCAGCTTTAGCAGTCTGCACGGAAACGATCATAACTGGAGTTCCGGGAATCCGATTGAGGCGTTCTAAATATCGCCGGAAAGCTAAGAAAGAGAGCTACAACTTTCGTGTTGGAGTCGAAGTCAGATTCGGAGCTCAAAATTCCAGATTTCCGTTTCAAGTTACAGCATTAGAATTTTATTTTATTTTTGATGTTTTGGGCCTGGGTTATATTTTTGACCCAGTTGGGTTTTGATCCATTATTTTCCTTTTTAAAGAGAAATCGTGTTACTGTTCACATTACCTACTATTCACGAGAAAAAACCTTGAAGCTTTTACGAATCCTATGGAGAACTAATCCCTCTGAGTCGGTCTACCGTAATTCAGGTTCCAACACTTGAGATTATTATAATATTATTACTATTTGTTAATTCCGTTCAATAATTTTATGTTCTTGTATGCTTAATTCGATTGCATGATATTATTGATTTAATTTGGTTGATTGTATGGTCCTAGGCATAGACACGTTTACGTTTGCTTAATTCGTTTGTGTGTCTGAACAATCATGTTTGCTTAATTCATGAAGTTTTATCCCGTTTGCTTAATTCGGACATTAGGATCATAAATCTTACAAACATTTTTGCGCTTGCCATTGAGTTTGCATCCAGATAGGAATGACACTTAGAAGATCAATATTATAATAATCAATGATAGTAGGAACCGAATCGGTAGATTGACTTATTTCATAATCAATTTTCTTCATAACAACTTATTTCGAAAATTACTCTTGTTAATTACTCTTCCCTAATCGAACCAAAAACCCCCTTTTTATTTCATTACTGTAATTGGTTAATCACTACAAGAATCCTTGTGAGAACGATATTCCGAGTCACTGTCGCTGTACTGCATTTTTATAAAATTACTCGTTTTTGATCCGCGAGCGACCGCGGATCAGTGCACTAAACAATTAAACAAAAAAATTCACTAAAACTTAATAAACCAAAATTCCAATGTGCACTACACAAGTTTCTGCGATTTACAAAATCAATTTAAAGTAAATTTTCGAAGATCGCTGGAAAAACACAATATTACAAATAATTTTAAATCTGGAAATATCTAATATGCAAACATAATTACAACTACAACACTTAGAACAACCATTTCTATTCCGATCCAAATATTCCCTTTTAGTTCCACCGGAAAATTGCGACCAACCTGAAGAGGACAGAAACGAAAAGTGTCATCTGACACCCTATCAACTTCAATGGCAAAGTAGTCTTAAAATCCTTCTCGACATAGCTTGAAGTAATAATCCAAATTACCGTGATAATCCTTCTCGACATAGCTTGAAGTGATAATCCTTCTCGACATAGCTTGAAGTAATAATCCAAATTGCCGTGATAAGTGATGCGGTGGATATGATGAAAGAAGTAGAGAGTGAAGAACAAATGACAAGAAAAGCTGACGCATGTACCAAGGCCGGGTAACCACCTTCTATCCCGGCAAGATGAAACATGCAGCGAAAATCATTGTCATAAGCAATGTACTG